CCACCACTGATGGCAAGCAAATAAACAGTACGCTAGATTTCTAGTTAGCTCTGACCTAAACAAGTTAGGAAAGAGTGACCGCCGGTCACTCTTTCCTAACTTGAAACCGGTCACTGACCGGTTTCATTTTCACTGTTGGTTTTGTTGCTTGGAGCCCTTCAGGATAAACGATGAGAGGAACGGAGGCGATCGTTCGATTAAAGCTCGGGTTTAATTTTTGAATTTGTAATGATTGACGAACGAGAAGACGATATTTGTGTGAATCTTTGGAGACGATTTCCCAATCTTCCCAATCAATTCTGTGTTTTGTTTCGAATTCATTTTTTTGGAGCGCTGATTTTAATATTTTTTTTTCAATTGGAATTGTGTTGTTTTCATCTTCTTCTTCTTCCGCAATAGTGTCCTTTGGGAAGTAATCAACTTTATTTGTATTTTTGTTACGATCCGATCGACGAGGGCGTGGTTGACCGGATGCTGTGGTAGATTGTTGCGAAGATTGTGATGGTTGCTGTTTCGGTGCACCATCTTCATGAAATCTTCTGAAAGCTTGCCGAACTGTTTTCCCTACATACTTGTCATCACAATTTGAACACGCTATCATGTATGCTAAATGAGATTGAAGATCTTTAGGTGTTCTGTCTTTTTGTGAAGCGCTATACAACTGTTTTAGATACATGTTAGAGATTTCTGTCAAAATTCTATTTGATAGAACGATCCACTAACCCACATATTAGTTATTTTATACCTATATCTTATTATCAGGTTTTGTTTATTTACACATTTTAATCGTTATTTTACTGTTATTTGTCAAAATGATTCTCAATATTTCGGTTATTCTTTCACTATTTTCGCTAAAGATTACGTTGATTTTTAGCTGGGTCTGAGATATGACAGGTTCAATATCGCGGGACAGAAAAAAGGCATAGTCTCTATGATAACATTATTCTCATTTTATTTATAAAAAATGGAACTAAACGGTTAATTCAGTTATATATTTCGAGAAAGTTAGTCTTCTGTTTCAAATTCTCCATACGTAAAAAATGTAGAACTCAAATGTTATAGTGCGACAGCAATAGAGCGGTAGTGGACAAAGGTTAGACAAATAAAATAAAAAGATTAAATCTATTAGTTGAAGAAAAGTTGTTGTAGTATTTTTACTTCTCGAATATTAGCGGTATAGTGGCAATGCAAATTATTCACATGTCATCGTAGCAAAATTATTTCTATGTGATAATCAATAAAAAAACTTAGATTCACCTGTGCATGAACCGGGAACGGATCTGAATCAAGAAAATCTTGCCAATTATCGACCATTAGATCTTCTTTATTGTCATACGTCTTTGGTAGTAAAAAACGGATATTTCTTATTATGCAATAATTTTTCGAACTAAATGCAAAATAAAGTCATTTGACGATTCAGGTGAAAAACTTCTACTAGGATCCTATTGGATTCTATAAAGTGTAGAATACGATATTATTCCTAGTATAAGATCCTACTGAATATTGATATATCAACATAGATTTACATAAGAATCTGATTCTAGGATTGTGTAACATTCCCGATATGATCCTACATTATCGATGATAAGAATTCTATATAGGATAGTACAGGATATTGTGATAATTTTGTTTTGATATGGGTAAATATTTGAGAATAAATATGATAGAGTTAACAGCAGTTTTAAATCTTTTTATTAACATTTTGTTAATAGATATAACAATTTATTTTATTACTGTCGACGTTTCGATACATTTAGTATCATTTTCAAGACAAATAACAGGA